TTGAATTATCCATTGCAGTGTGTATTAAAGTTATGTATTTACTGTATTCTATTCGTGTTTTACCCCGTAATTTCCTTGGTACCTTTCTCGTCCTCCCCTGGTTTTGGAACCAAGACTGCCACAAATGGGGGGGTTTCTGCGGTATATTTTTTATATATTTGGATGGTAGAGAGTGAGAGGAATTCATCACCACCACCATCATTACCATCAGTATCAGTGTTATTAACTTGGCAATCTAACTATCCAGTGAAAAACCTGCGGATTAAACATACTGTAGTTGAGAATGTGAAGTCTTTTCAAATATTAACCAGCATATAGTAATAACAGATATATTCTAAAAGTCTTTTGTTTCAGTTTCTTTTTTTTTTGTTTTTAGGAAATGCTCTTTCTGGATATTCATGGTTGTTTTAGATCCATTGTCAAAATTCATATTGATACAATTTGATATTTCACATTATTCTTTGTTTATTGGTTGCAGGATTTGCAATGATGTTTTATTCCTGATGGAGATTCTATCTGTTGACGAAGTTAAACATATATTAGTGAGAAGAAAAAGTCAACTAACATGGCACCAGCAGCTAGACATTACTTCAAAATACATGGTAACGCATCTAAAACCCGATATCCTCTACAAGGTGAGTATTGTTGTTGCAGATTTCATAGGTTCAAATGGTTTCAGATGTATATCTAATACAGATATGGATTTTTTTTTTTTTTTTTTTTTGTATATTTCCAATATATAAAGATGAGTTAGTATATCAGCAGTGAACAATGTGTTACATTAGAATATGAATATAAAACAGTTTTTGAGTTTTTGATTTGCTTGTTGAAGTAGGATCTGCAACAGATGTTATTATTTTACCAGTTTAAAAGGAAATACTCTGATTTTTCATATTTTGTTTTCAGGGGAAACATAACATACCAATCTTCCATGCAACTCGGAAATCAGAACTAATTTTTGTTGAAACTGATGAAGTTCCCAAGCTCCGTAACATGTGTAATGACCAGAGCCTTATATCCTATAAGGTATGAGTTGATGTGGGTTATGATTTGAATATTACATACTTTTATATGTGGGTATTGTTAAATGTGTTTTGCACATTTTGGAGTAATGCAAGTTAGATACATATATGAGGGAAGAGGTAAAATAATGAATATATATATATATATAGATAGATAGATAGATAGATAGATAGATAGATAGATAGATAGATAGATACACATATATATGTATATATATATATATATATATATATATATATATATATATATATATATATATATATATATATATATATATATACACACACACACACACACACGTGAACACATGCATACATGCACACGTGCACAAATGCGCACTTGGACTCACACACTCACACACACACTCACATGCACACTCACATGCACACTCACTCACTCACTCATTCAGTTACATACATTCACTTTCACACATTCACTCACACTCACTCACTTTCATATATTCACTGACACATTCACTCTCACATATTCACCTTCACACATTTACTCATACAAATTCACTCACACATATTCACTGTCACACATTCAGACACACATTCACTCATTCTTACACATTCTCTCATACATAATCTCATATGCACACACACATGCACACACATGCACACACACATGCACATGCACACACACGCACACACACATGCACATGCCCACGCACACACACGCACATGCACACACACGCAAGAGCACATGCACACGCACACACACACTCACACTCGCTCTCACTCCCTCACACATTCACTCACTCATTCACACACATTCACTCACACATATTCACTCACACATATTCACTCACACAGACATGCACACACACACCTACACACACACACACACACACACACACACACACACACACACACACACACACACACACACACACACACACACACACACACACACACACACACACACATACACACACACACACACACACACACACACACACACACACACACACACACACACACACACACACACACACACACACACACACACTCATACTCACATGCAAAAAAAAAAAAAAAAACCCACGTGCACACACTCACACACACATACTCACTCACAACTAGACGTACATGTACATATACACATACAGACACACCTGCACACTATGCACCCACGCATGCACACACATTTATAGATGAATATTATTTTACAGGGGACTGTGACTTCAGTGCTTGATGAAGACATTGGCATATATCAAGTTGATGGCCGCACCCAGCTGGTTATATCTTACATCCATGACATCACAGGAGAAATATGGAATATGTCAGAAGATTCAAAAGACTTGGAACTTTTTAGCAGCAGAGCATCTGAGAAAGAGAGGTACAGGTTCTTAAAGGCTGGAGATAAGGTTATGATTTTCCATGCCCACTTTACCAAGATGGATGGCACACCAACTTTGTCCTGTTGTGGCAGGAGTTTAGTGATGAAGGAAAGGTGAGGTTCTATATTTTTCCCTGAAAAAATAAACTGGTAAATGTTATGATTTTGAGAAAGGGATTTCATCATGTACTTTTTCATGGAGGAAGATAGGTACTGATAATTTCCTTTCAGGCAATCCCTCGTCAGTCCAGTAGGCAACAGAAGCCCTAATGCAACCTTAGATATGCTACATTACTATAATTTTGGCATTCGTGGTTTGAAGTGGTTGGCTGAAGTGAGAGACCATCTTGTTTCTGTACTTTGTCCTGGTATTATGGAGAGGAAACATATCTTAAGGTTAGACTTTCTTATTTTTTAGTTTATTCCCAGAATTGGACAAAATTGTTTAACACTATCTAGATGGGAAAATAATGCTCTTTATGAAGTTATTTCTTATATTTGCTTCATTGGGTTGAGAGGGAGGAATAAGAGAGTAAAAAGATTTTGAAATACAGAGTGTGAACAGATTTTAACTTGTAAACTGTAATTGCAGGAGAAAGCATAATGGAGAGCGAAGTGTCCTGACTCAACTTCTACGACTAGTTGCAGATCGCCAACTGATATCTGCAAATTCCCGTTCACTAACATTAGAGTTTTTATCTCTCACTCATCAGTGTGTTTTGAACAAGGTAAGATTTCAGTCTTGTCTGCATTAATATGTACATTAATAAAATAGACAATGTATATATTGATTTTGCACAAGTTATATGGGATGTATTCCTTAGAATTCCCTCAGATATGATCAGACAGTTGAAAATTAATAGCTGAAGAAGTTTTAGGGTTGAATTTTTCTAGTTTTTACTCCCATCCCATTGATGATATTCACACAGGCTATCCATTATCCATGTTTTTTATTTATGTATTTATTTTTTTTTTACATCAAAATTATCCCATAAGCACTTACTTATGCAGTAGTCAGTTACTAGTGTTACCAGTCACTTACTAGGCTGTTTGACCTTACTTGCTTAAAATATTCCTTGAATTTTTGGAAAGAAATATTTTATTTCTTTTACCATTATTGTCATTACTAATAAAAGGGATTCTTATTATAATGCTATGTTATCAAATTGTCTTTTTCTCTCTTATGAATAAACTTCTTGAAGAGAAAAATGAAAAAAGTATCTATATGCTTCTAGTGATTATGGCTTTTGTGTCTCTATGCAAAGCAACCAAAGTTAATGTCCATACAGATTAAAAAGATTAAATGCAAAGTCTCAGATGCTGAAAAGAAAACATGTTTTAAAATTTGTGTTACATAGATTTTATTTTTAGAGTATAATCTGACCATATCAGGACTATATTTCAGGACTTTGAAGCCCCATTTACGCTCTTGAGTGTATTGGACTTGGAGTCCTCTGCCAACATGGATGAATGTGATAATGAAGAGAAGCAAAAAGTTTGGTCTTATAACATTGATCATCATGAGCCTTCAAGAGCTGTCATAGGTATGCTGCAGCTTGGGCAAAATGGAGTCCTGCAGCTGAGAGATCAGCATGCAGACATAGATCTTGTGGTTGTCGGGAACAAGGAAGATTTGTTAGAAAAAGTTGGGGCAATAGTTGTTCTGTTTAATGCCCAGTATGTGCAGGAGACCTTTAATATCATTGCTGAAGGGAGTGAAGATAATCACATAAAGAAATATGTGATTGTCAGAAATGCTGATATGTTGGTGCTCAGACTTTGTGACAGGGAAGAGAAAATGGAAGGAATGGAGACTAGCGTGGACACTTATTATGACATAAAGATACTTTCAAAATCAAATATGATCTGTAACCAACATCAGGGAAGAAAACTTTACAAAGAGAACTTTCATGTAGACATGTTCTTCATGGCCCAGGCTGTGATCCAGAAGCTGAATCAGAAAGATTCCCAGGAAGAGAGATGGAAAACATTTGTGAAATTTCATGGGCACAATGCATTATACCATCCATGTCTTGAAGATGGTATTTGTTACAAAGTTAGAATACCAGCAGCGACTGTCTGTGACACAAAGATGAGGAAACAGTACTCAAATGCATGGTTGCAGCCTCTTAAATCATATTTTGGAACATGTGAATGTATTTATCTCCCAGAGGAATCATATATTGAAGGAGCTGTACCAGGAACAAAGCATTTGAATGAGACTAGTGTCTGCCAGGTTCTAGACTCTTCATATGGAGAATGTGGACCACTATCTGTCAAGGCAGTTATCAAAGATAGACAGCACATGACTCCAAAATTCCCTTCTGAGCTTAAGTTAAGCAGTGGAGCTTCGTCCAGTAGATATCATGTAGGTGTTCCTGGAAACAAGATAATAAGGGTCCTGTTATGTGACTGTGAAAATCCAGATGAGGAAATATGGCTTTATCTTGGTAGTACCTCTAATTATCATATCCCACAGTATTCACTTGGTATAATACCAGGAGTAACTATCATTGCATCTTGTGTTCTTAGGAATGTTTCCAAGCAGAACAAGAAGATTTATCTCCAAAGTACTGTGTTCACATGTCTGACACCAATATCTAAGGCTGTACCAGACCTGTCCTCATTTCTGCCTTCCATTCACAACCCAAAACGCCGCTACTTGAAGGATATATTAGGACAACCGGGTTCATCATTTCAGACCTTTGCAACCATAGGGCGCATATGCAAAGTCTCCTTCTGCTGTGTCTGCAATTTCTGCAATGCCGAGATGGTTGGTTCATCGTGCACATATGTTGGCTGCCATGCCCAAGGCTCAGGGAAGGTGGTGGCTAGTGCTCAGGTGGTCATTGATGATGGCACAGGAACTGCCATGGTGTTCATGAGTTCTGTTGAACATGTAAAAGTTCTCCTGCAATTAAAACCTCATCAGTATTCCCTACTGTCCCAAGAGATAGTGTCAGGCTCCCACAGCCTGAGCTATACATCCAGATTCAAGGACACTGATGCTGATGGTATGTTGCATCCTTCAGAATCTGGCCTCACAAAAGCCATGGGGACAATATGTTCTTCCAATCAGTTGCTAAGGCCAGTAAACATGGTATGTAGAATGTTCAAGCACCAGATGCAGAAGGATGGGCAAGATGGAGATAGAATCCATTTGTATTGTGTGGCCATTTCTGAGATCAAACCAAACATAAACTGTGAGGAACTTTTAAAGGATGTAATGTAGTTTTATTTGACTGAATGGTGTGTAGATGATTCTGTTATAACTATTTATTCATTACTATTTTCATTAATAATATCATCACATTCTTTTCATTCATAGATATTTTGTTTTAGAGGAGTTATACACTTTATGCATTATTATTTCCAGTTTCTTAATGTCATCGAAATTGTAATGTTTTTCTTTTCTTATAACAGTTGCTTTTACAATTAGCCAACATTACAATTGCTTGTTAATATAAGGAATTGAGATTAATCTGTGATATAGAGGATTATCAGCCATATTCTAGGTTGTACACACCAAGCCCACATTCCACATAAGTCCTTTGCACAAGCAGTGTGGGGTAGCCTCCTCCTCAATTTGACCAGGGCTGCCTACTTTAAAGAAGGTCAGATCTGTTGTGACATTTGGTTACTTTCACTTGGTTATTTGATCACAAGAAACCATTAATACTGTGATACTTAATTCCACTCACCGAGGACAATAATGTTAGGATCATTTACCAACTATCAACAACACTGCTTTTTAAAACAGTCTGAAGTTTAAATGCCATAACAATGCATTTTGTCAAATCAGTCAAGGTAGGATATCACTTTTATGTTAAGCCACTGCAGCATGAGCACCCAAGAATGCAGTTATGAGTGCAGGAAAAGCTTATTATATGGAGGATATCATATTAAAATTGTTGTTGGCAACTGTAGTCTTCTGAATACAGTACTTCTGTTCACAATTAGTGATTTCAAAATATAGATGAAATAGAGTTTGTAGTAAACAGACCTAGTTGAAAATTATATGAAATTTAAGTCAGACAACTGTATGAACTTGATACTGAAAAAGGTGATTCCATGAATGTTTGGCCAAACTTTGTACTTACTATTGATTTCATGAAATATGTTAGTTTTATATATATTTTTTATCCCTGACACCAGTGTTAGGTAGTCACTCTTACAGTACAATCATTGCCAGTCTCCAGGTGATACTTTATTATAGAAAAGACATCATGGCATAGATCTAGTAGGGTCAGGGTGTGGTATTAGTGTGTACATCCTAGAATATGACTATTTGTATTTAGGTTACATTTTATGAAAAGGCAGTTATTTTATTGAGTAGATTTTTATATATTCTAATACCATTTTACTGTATTTTTAAGAATTTTCCTTTTGTGCCAGAAGCAACAACTTGAAAGCAACAACTAAAAGTACTGCTGACATTTAGTTGCACAATCTGATTATTACCATTGTTTGTGCTTTTTGTTTTTTCTGCAATTTCCTACAATTGAGAGGCTCAATGATAAGAGGATTGAGAAGAAAATACTTTTAAAGAATTTACCTGTGAAACATCTACAGTAGCAATTGTTATGTAAATGAATCCACTGGTTGCAGTTTTATGTACTGTCCACTGTATTTTTTTGTAAATTTTGTTGCACAATGATGATTCCACAAGTGTTAAACCACCAAAGAAACAATTAGTTGGCCCAAGAGATTGCACCAGAGTTCCCCATTCCTTTATTTTCTGGGAATTTCTTTGTAATGCTATTAATATTGATACTATTATCAATATTAATAGACATTATGATGATTATAAAGTTATTAAGATTCTAATTACAATCTGAAAATCAAGGAAAAGGGTACACAGTGAGATTGGTAGGACTGATAATTAACTCCTTGAGCCTTCTATGGGTAAACATAATTAACACACTGAAATACAGTGGGCATGGCAATCATATGGTGCCATTTGCGACCATTGGGTTAAGATTGGCAGGGACTGTTGAGGTAAAGTATTTGATGCATGAAGTATATCTATGTACTTGCAAGTCTAATTCTGTTTGCATAAACAATTTGAAAAAGAACTTGCCAGGCCTAAAGAAATTAATACAGAAGATGTTTATTGATGTTTTTAGCCTGCATTAT